AATGAACTTTTCTGTCACTTTTATGACGTAGAGTTTTTTTTTGAGCTCTTTGCAGAATTATAAATTGGGAAGCTTTTACTTATGACATATATGTTTCTTTCTATACACGATAAATGTGTTTATTTGCCTATGTACACATATGAGTGTATGTTTTCCTTTCTTTTGTGAGAAATAACAAGCCGTCATTACTTTCTCAGTCATTGCTGCTATCAAATGAAATGTCACCGAGATAAAAAAATTCAATGAAAATAAATAAAATTTTTTCAAGAATTAATTAGCTTTGTAGCGTTGGCAATTTTTTACGTAGCATTGGAATGAACGAGGAGAGAAAGAAAATAGCTAAGATTGAAGTGCCATGAAAGTGGCAAGTACGGATGATTCCCACGGCAGGAGAATAGCCAGGAGTAGTGTAGTATGAGAAAGAAAAAATGAAATGTAAGAAGTGAATCTTCTTTATCTTTAGTCTTCTCTTGATTCTCGTTGATGATGGTAGGACGATACCGCTAGTCACTGAGATGAGAGAGCAACGAATAGACAGAGAACTGACAGTTGAGAATATAGAAGACGACAATGATCGTATCTTCTTTGTTTTGCTACTTCTCTTTCTCCTGTTGAGGTTATCCGCGTGCTCGAGATCCCACCACGATACTCTTGTCGACCTTTTGGATGATCGAGCCAACGAATAATTCAGCCTTAAGTTCACGCCTTTACATTACATCGGAAGGGTCGTGAACCCGGACTTCCGTTATTGAGGAATCAATCCAGACGATTTATATGTTGAGAAAAAATCCACGTTGAGGGGTTATTAATTTTTAAGTTGTCAGTTCATTGAAATGAAGATTTAAGATTGGTAATTTGCAGGATTGATGGGCGGAAATTAACCAGCGCAATGCGAAACTTATAAGACGTTCTTTGCCATTTTGATTTCTCTTTCAATTTCTACTCACTTTTCTTTTTTTTTCATTTTTGAATGCATCGTTTTATTCTAGATTTGAAAGAAAATTTTTATTGGGGTTAATTGAGGAAACTTATTCACTCTGATTTTTAAATTGATTTAAACTTCAATGAATATTTATGGTTTCACTTTCGTTGTGTTTGTTAATTTGAAAAAATTCTAACTTAATCAATGTAGGCAAAATAATAATAATAAAATAAACGAAGAAAGTAAGAAAGCAAAAAATATATATATTTAACGAGTTTAATCCATTCATAAATTCTGGAACCAACATCTTGATTAGAAACTCATTCTGACCCTGGGATATTATGTTTTTAATCAGGTAACTTATTTCCCCATCATGTCCTCAATTGGTCACCTAGTTAGATTAGATAATATTATCATTTTCATAAAATATAAATGGCAGTTAAATAAATCAAAGTCTTTAATGAATTTTAAATGGAAAAAATTCTATTTTATTTTCAACAATTAAAAAAACCATTTCTAACTTTCATTTTGTATTGATTTATTGCGACAAGCAATTTATTAAAAATTCTCCTATCCAGCTATTGTTTATTATAATTCATCAAAAATGAAATAATAATTAATGCACTGTCAATTCCAAACATTTCTCATGCATTGTATAGCAACATTAGTTTGCTATTAATCCAAAAAAACTTCAACAAAGTTTTCTCTATGTAATGAAGTTACTTAATATGATTTTGTCTTTAATTTATTTGCTCAACTTTGCACCTTTAACCTTCCAACAGCCGTCTCCAATATGTAAGCACATGTTGAAAAGGACGCAATAATTCACGCCAATGTTAAAACCTATAAATTTATTCATGTGACTATCAAGCATGGATAAGTATGTATACATAAAACCGTTAAACGGCGACATAATTGTGTTTCTAATCGTTTCTCTTCCGTGTTTAAAACTCTCACGGTCTCAATACCGCACACGTAAATCCAAGGGTGGTTTCGATATATCGCTAGATACGATGGTGAGATCGTCAAGCCATTAGTTCTCTCGTCAGACCCTCCAAGTTGATGCAGGCTTACGATGAATCTTAGAAAGCGAAATCGTGTCGACTGTATTCATACGTAAATCGTATCCTCTCTGTACTTATTTCAGACTTATTACACTACCGGGTTCGATAAAGTTGCTCTCAATACCATCGAACTAGATGAAACCAAGTGATTCTACATGTAGATCAAATTAATGCTTACCATAAATTCACTCTGCTGATAACTTTTATCCACTAGAGTATAAAGTATTTTTATTTTCTATTTCCTCAACTTTTTAGTCAATAATTTAATTAGTCAACAAAATAATAAATAAATGTGCAATCGATCTTACTGAAATTGAGAAAGAGAAAGCTTGAAAATTTTTCATAGACACTAGAGTTTCTGGCAAAAAGTCAAATGGTCATGGTTTCATGGATCTTCTATAGTACATTTTCTCCTGGTCTTGATGGTGGGTATGGAAAAGTAAGTCACTTTGCTGACACTCGAGCATCATTGTCGTGTTTTTCTCCCCTGAGAGTTTTTAACCACGTGCGAAAGAAATAAAAAAGAATAATAAGACAAACAGTCTGATGGTGATCAGCAATTAGAAACAATTACGCATGTTCATTAAACGCCTCATTAAATTCCACCACTTGGGTTTTAGTACTTTTTTCCTTTTATTTAACCACTCAGTATTGAATTGAGTAACTCAACTTTTATTCATCAGACCGTAACCTGGCTTCTCCATGATCTTTATGTCTGACGCAATTATATCAGTCTATCTATTTGATCGTTGGAATTTTATTTCAATGCTGATAATTCATGTCTATTAAATAGACTATTAAATATTAAATAAAACCGTTTATTTTCACTTAATAATTAAAGGAGAAAAAAAAAATTTATCATCATTTCTCACCCTTTCATCGTGACTTGCTTTCCTGTTTATGCATATCCAACGTCTTGATAGCCTACGGGCGATCATTCCCAACGATTATACACCACTGTGTAGATATGTATGTTTGAGAATAGTGTCATGCCATAGGCGTGAAGATTCTCTTGTGGTGGCTGACTTGATCATCATGATTACACAAGCGATCTGTGTGTCACACAGTCTCCAACACGATCTTTACTATCATGTTGTACAATAACACGTTCGTTTACCTCAAACACTTTTATTCCGAGAAATACAATCTTTATTAATAACGTTCAAAACAGCTTCTGAATGATAGAATGGGTGTACATGTCGAGGAAATAATTCATCTACATTGAATGTATTTTATTAATCTTAAAGAGATTTCGAGTTTAAATGACTTCTTGGAGGAGAGTGAGAAAAATAAGTTGGAATTTTAATCTTGGATTGGAGAAAAATACATTCATTTTCTTTTTTTTTCCACACTCAATTTTCCTGTTATAAATAACCACTTTGAATTATTTATAAAATATATTTTTAATTAAGTGTTTTATACTCAAATAAGCATATTTATGAGGTCAAGTCTTCGAAAATTTACTTAATAATTTATTTTATGAATGAATCAGGTAAAAAATGATTGCATTTGCTTTTTTTATTGACAATGAATCAACTCAACGATGAATTAAAATAAAATAAATTGTCTTTTTATATTAATATTTATAAAAGTGTTTAAAGCTGTCTGTTGATAACAAGATTATTGTAAATATTTTAAAAGAATATTAGTTGAGAATAATATAAAAAAAAATGATAACAACGTTAATTTTCGTATTTAATCAGATTTAATTACATTGGAATGTGAAAAGCAGCGTAATTTTATCTTGAAAATTAATATGTGGATTCCAAACAATATCTCAATTATCTTCAATGAAGCCGTAGAATAAAACAATAATTGTATATAGTAATAACTTAAAGGAAAATCGTTTTATAAACAAAGTAAAATATTAATTAATCGTTGAACAAATATTAATTTTTCGTTAATCATGATTATAGATAATATTAATGATTGTTAAATATTTTTATCACATCAAAAATCTATCATGTTTTATTTTTTTAACTAAATATTTATTGTATAATTAAGTTATTCACATTGATTAAATTCAAGTTTTTTACAAATTAATTAAATTTTCTAACATTATAACATTTATGAAATAATTATTAACTCATTAATACTCAATCTCATTAATATTACCTTGATGTAATGGTAATAATTTCAACTATGACTGCATTTAATTCCATGCTAGTGTTAATAATTCAATTTCTATTGACTTTGTCGATAAAATACTTTCTTCAACAAAAAAAAATTTATTTAAAATAATAAAAAGCAGAAAATTATTATGGATTATTATGCATTGAATGTTGTCAACAGTTATCATAAAAAGAAATGCATAAATTTGAAATAAATATTATGATAAAAAATTTTTTTTTATTGAGTCAATTTCTTTCCTCATAAGCAATTCCTTACTTCACTGCACAAACACACGTTCCCATAAAATTGTTTTATAGGATTTAAATTAGCTTCTGCAAAAGATTTTATATTTCTTTTAAAAAAATTCCATAGAATATCTACAGTTAAATTATTCAGTTGAAAGAAGGAGGAAAGATTATTTGCGAAAAGTCGTTGGATGTTAAAAAGTTTCGCTTTGAGTTGGATAAAACATAATTATATGACTATAATATCATGTAAATGTGTCATTTGAAACTGATTTGAGCGACTCTTAGGAATAAATTTGATAATTTAAAGTCAGAGAATATAACTTTCGTCTACAAGTTTTATTCTGGAATAGCGAGATATTTGTTGAGGACGAGGCAAAAGAGAGATTAGGAACTGACGTATCTCCAACTCTAGTTTCGAACGGGTTCTACTACTGGCACGAACGAGTTTCGCCGGAAGACAAGACTCAAACTGCTAAACTTCTTCTGAAGTTACTGTAGTATTTTTCTTTTTTTTTTCCTATTCCTACTTTGCATACATAAATAGACAAATACTTTCTATTTTTTACTATTTGCATACATTAATAAATGATAAATAAGATAATTTATAATTTAATATGCATAGCAAAAAATAATTGTTGAATTATTTTGTTGCAGGATTTATCAACTGTAATGCCACTGCGCTTCAGTCACTTGCTCAACTGCATGGTGAGTTTTGCTTCAGAACAACTTTTCTATGCTTATCTTGAGGAGGTTCTTTTATCAGTAAAGAAATAAAGGGTAAAAATTGCAATACCACATTTTGAATTATGATTCGTCGTTATTTTATTAATAGAAATATATATTTTTTTTAAATACTTTACATTGGTTAATGATAAAACAATAAGATAAAGGTGGAGTATTGAAATATTTTTAAAGCTCTGTACTTTGTTGAAAAAGTTATGGATTTTTTTAAATCAAAGTAGATTTTAAAGCTCACTATAAAAACTAATTTTAAATATTTTTTTGAAATTCCATCACAAAAGGAATAGAAAAGGGTTTTACAGAGAAAGAAAGCTTGTAGATGCTTTATTCAGATTTGAAAAAAAAATTCCCATGCTGCAAATGCATTCAAACTTTGAGATGGAATAGAGGAACAATCAAAATGGTTCCTTTTGGAATTTTTTCGAGAATGATAGAGGACATGAAAAAAATTTTCAATGACTTCATCCAAAATTAAAAATTCTTAGCTTCATAAAAAGTCTTTGTTAACTAAAATCGTAGTATTTTTGACGAAAATTTAGTGCTTTAACTACTTCTGGAAAAAATAATCCACCGATAATTGCCAACTTTTCTACATCAACTTAATGGAAATAAAAAAAAAGTTTCTTTAAATTTTAAAAAGTACTTCAGTGTGCTAAATATTTAAATTAATATTTCCTATTATAACTATCAGTTAATCACTAATTAGTAATTTATGAAAAATTTGTTCTTCCTTTAATAAGAGTAATTGAAGAAAATTCATGATTAATGAGAAAAAGTAGATAAAAGTTAAACTTTACAAAGTAAAAGAACCTCCCAAAGAAAGGATTTAGCAGAGATGTCCCGTTTGGAAGTAAGCAGAGTTAGCAAGCTTGATAGAAATAAGTGTTAAAAGAGAAAAGAAGAGCACAAAATTCTAGATGAAAATTTAGAGTACATGATGCTACATAAGACGGATATTTTCCACTCCAAACTCACCATCTTTATCTCCAACGTCTGGTTAATCGGAAGAAAGGGCATTAGGGCTAAGACCAAAGTTTGTTTCGTGGTCCAAAAAGGTCCACCATAGGACTCCACAAAGCTGAGATCAAGGGATACAACCAGCAATCCAAAAGCTTTGCAAAGCCGCTTAATTGAGATCTCCATGAATCCTAACTTCTGAATTCCTTTTGATTTGACTGAAGTAGACGCATAAACTAGTGAAGCTTTCAGAAATATGCATAAGTGAGATTTAATCCTTATGCCAAGGGCTCTTTGGAAATAATAAGAACATCAATTTCCTTCATCAAACTTGAATTTATCATTTCTCTACACATCTCCAATTCTACATTATATTTATTTCTTCTTATCACAGATTTTCACAATAAATAGTTTGAATCGTCTGGCATTTTACTGCAATTTCTCAGGCTTCAATTCACCCACGTAAAATGTAGTGGCTTACACAAAAACATCTAGGCCAATTTAGAGATGCTTTGTTTGTTGGTGACTTGAAAGCCTCGTTGGTGTACAGTCCAATCTCGTTATGCTTTTATTGTCCTGAGATCGTCGTCATTGCGGTGGAATAGAAAAAAAGGCTCTCGTTTGCGTAGTATTTCCGTGACAAATAAGGTTAATCAAGCTTTCATTGACACGATCGAGATGTCCAATAAATAAAAATACCAAGTTCTGATTGGATAGTTTTTTTTTTTTTACTGCTGGAGATTTTATTCCAGTGGATGATGTTGCAGCAAATTTTTCATAACCGCCCACGTATTTTTTTCTTTAATGTCGAGACACCTTCATGCTTCAACGAGTTATTCTCTAGACCAGATTTCCCTCGAGAGCACATTGCCACGCTTCACGTATATCACGTTATTAAATGTCTCAAGTAATAGGTACATGTTGATACAAAAGGCTTGTGCTAATAACTTAAGTTATTAATTGCTTTAATCATTTACTGTGGTGTTGATATGAGAGATGAACATGCGGAAGTAATTTGACTTGACGCTTTTGGTTTAAAAAAAATTTATTTATTAGTGAATATTTCATTATCGTCCTTTTTCGAGATAATCAAATTTATTGAATATTGAAATACTTTATGATAAAAAAAAATTAGTGAAAGTAAAATGGTTTATTGTTGATAAAAATATACTGAAAATGATTGAATATTAGTATCTAATATATCAAATTAAAATTATCGAAAAAAATAATTTAAAAATATTTCACTTGGATTAAATTAAAAAATTCCCATTCAATTTTTTTATTTTATTTCTCTCTTTCTAGTCAGTTATGTCCAAGCAATATTTTCCAACCTTGTAATTGAATAAAAAATAACTAAAGTAATAATTGAGTATTGTTTTATTCCAATTCAATATTATTATCAATTATTATACTATTTTTTAGTTTTCATATTTTTCTTAAACCTTGGAGTTAAATCGAAACTTTTCGGTTCAATTACGAATAATTTATTACTACTAGGAACTCATTAGACTCGATTTTAAAACAGAATAAATTAATTTCTTTGTTAACAAAGTTTGTTGTAGATGTTATATTGACTTTTAAGTTACTTTGAGAACATGGAAAAATATATTCTTCTAAAGTGCTGTCGACGAAAATAGTATATTGAATTGCTACAACAGATTGGAAGTCTAAGAAGGAGAACGTCTGTGCACTGCAGGATGGACCTTAGGCAAATATTTATAGTAAAGTAATGAAAGCAATCCCAACAACTATTTTCTTCTCCATTTACATCTCAATCTAGGCTGGAAATTACCCATGTACTTCCTTCCATTTAAATTTGAACAAATCATGCAGAAGTATTACGGAATGATTTGCAGAAAGTCGCAGTGGGATTTCCGATTGATGCGTTATATTCTCAGTAGTGCATATACGAGCTTGTATAATAATGTACAGGGGTTTGGACCCCACTGCTTTCAGGATGTTTACCACGATGAACCAAGCATGTATATAATATTTGCATGGGAAATGCTGGCTACGTATGCGCGTTCATGATGTTATACATCCACCCTATACGCGCTTGCATTACCATACATATTGCTAGATCCCACTAAAAAAAAGTGTACTTCTTAACATTATTTTATTTTTTTTAATTCTGTTTATTTAGAAACATCAGCCCACCAATTGCTTTTTTATTCATGTAAAAATCTGGAAAAATCTTTGCTTACGTTTATCGTGGTAGTTTTAATTAAATTTTTTTATTCTTTGCTTTATTAATATTTTTATTGACAAAAAATAATATGTGACAACCAATGAAAAACACGACAGCTAGAAATGACACTGCTTATACTTTTATAATTCTTTTTTAAATTCATTACTCACATAAGGTTTTTTATTTTATTTTATTATTTTAACAATTGTTGAACAGTGAAAAATTAACTCTAAAAGATGGATCATGAGTTAATGATGATGTTAACCATTATTCTTTCTACAATTACTCACTTGAGAATTAAAAGAAAAAATAGCAGCAAACATCTGTATTCTCTGAATCGATAAAATAGTATAATGTTTTCTAAGATATCACGTAACTTTCATCACAACTAGTCAATAAAGTCATCAACAAGTGAATGTAAAAACGGACGTAAGTCACCAATAACTGCAGCCTTTTTTACCCATAAATCAGGAATGAACGGTAAAATTTATTAGCTAAACACGGGAGTGATTAACGGAAATTAGAGACAAGCTACAAATTAAAATTTCCCTCCAAGATTTATTAATATTAAACAAATTACTTTTTCCTTCACAAAAACACCATATCCTTCTACACTACATCATTAAATCCATCACAAAAACCAGAAATATATTATTTATAGATAATTATTATATTTATTACTTAAAACCTGGGATCAAAACTCCATCAAATAGCCCGTATTTCATTGGTTCTTAATACAGTTTTACGTTGAACATGAAACTACCCTCATAGATATTAAACCTGGTAAAAACATTCGAGTAAAAAGCATCTCAAGAAAGCCATCGGATGATTGATGTTACACTTAAGAAAAATTATTAACGAAAAAAAAGAAAATGAAAAAAGCATTACAACATTTCTCTTGTTGATGACAACAATTGGCATTTGATTGATCTTGACCTTAAACTCGTTAAAAAGGCAGAAAAAAAATATAAAGAAGAGGAATCTTCGTCTATTGAGAGACATGTATTGCTGAATTATTCATATAATGTGAATTTATATATTGATACACGTCTCTCGAGTGACTTTAAATATTTTTCGGTCTCTCGACACCTCATATTATCATAAAATTCTGTATACTCCAGTGCCATCCATGAATCTCAAAAATCCCTTACCTTTATCCCAAGCACTATAGGCGTTTTTTAAAAATAAAATGAAGCAATTGTATTGTGTATCTTTTGGTAGATACTCGCGTAACAAAGATAAATTATTGCAGTTGAATAAAATTTTTGCAAGCATTAAATTTATGCTCTAAATTAAGTCCACCTGAAAGACGATAGATTGTGTACATTATTAGAGTTGAGTGTGAATATGAGGTGCGTATATCTTCAATACATATAGTCAATTAAATCCTGCATACAGTAACAAGTGTAAACGAAGTGACACGCAACTGCTAACAAGTTTCCGAGGCTGCTTTTGCAGGTCGGCGTCTTTTCATTATGTTATGTTCCCCTGCTTCGCTTTATCTTCGCAGAAATGAAAATTTTTTTTTTTTTGCTAAATTACAAAAGTGTAATAAATGTTGGTATAAATAACAATCATGAGGGACTTGAAAAAAAATAACAAGCTCAAAGGTGTGACTTTCGAAGTCATTGGTGTCGTTTTTTTAAACTCAGGTATCTTGGTTTAAAAGTCTACGATTCTTCAACTAATCATTAAAATTAGATTTTATTGTAGTGTTTCAAAAGTTCCAGACAATTTTTTCTGTTGTCAGTATCATTTGATTATCTTTTTTCAACAACACCATAGTATTCATGAATTTTTAAAGAAAAAGTAGATAACA